CTTCTTCTTCTTCTTCTTCTTCTTCTTCTTCTTCTTCTTCTTCTTCTTCTTCTAATTATTGTACGTAAATGAATCGTTGGTTGATTGGCTGATTGATTGAATGATTGTGATTGATTGAGTGATTTATTGATTAAATTCTGTTTACTTAATGACCGGTTTATTAGGCGGGTGGATTCGTTTTTTCAGTTATTATAATTTAATTATCATAGATTGATTGGTTGGCAATTTGATCAATCCATCCATCCATCCATCCATCCATCCATCCATCCATCCATCCATCCATCCATCCATTCATCCATCCATTCATCCATCCATCCATCCAACGTACCTCTGTTTCTTCCCAACTGCGTTCCGCCTTTCGTTCGAGATACCCTGCCTCCCATTGTCAAAGTTGTAAAGAAGGAAGAAAGGAGTTAAGATACACACCAGAGAGGCTGCCAGAAGACTGGAGCTGACATTATACCGCATGGTATAAGTTGTCAGTCACAACTTAGAGACGAATTTGACCTCCATTAGCGTTCCAGGAATGATGTTTGGTGACGGCCGACAACAAGTCCGATGTGCTCTTCATCAAGAATGGGCTGCAATTTCTCACTGTTTAACTCATAATCTCATTCGGTCTAAGAGACAACGTATTCAAGTCTGTCAAGGGTGAACGTATCCGCTATTAAAGGCTCTGAAAGTTACTAAACACCTTCTGTCTCTTTTTTGTTTGACCACCACTGCGTTTGAAACCCCACTGCGAGAGGCAATTATTGATTGAACCCTTCGCTGCAGTGCTGTGTAGACCTTTGCACTTATAATTTGTCATCTCCAAAACTGGTTCTTTGCCTTTGTTTTCATTGATCTGTCGGGGAAGTTTTGAAAAATGCAGTAACAATTGATGCTGTTGTTATTTCTGCAACAGGGGAAAGGGTGTTGGGACTTTCGTTGAATAAACTTATTTTATCTTGCTCGTATGTACACACGCAGAGATGGAAAAAACCCCGGGGCAGTGCCACTGACTGTAGTGTCTTTAGGCTATTCCCAAAGGGGGGGGGGGGGACATTTCTCGTTCAAGCACAGTAGAATTGTAAATGGGCTGATTCATCATGTCAGGCTCATTCATAACTGTGCCTGATCTACAACGGGGAACTGTTGCTCTTTCCTTCCTAATCCTTACTATTGTCATTTTCCTCTACTTCTTTTGTATGTTTGTCACTCTCTTGTGACCCGCTTTTTCCTGGATAGTCGAAGCAGACCTTGTGCTGTTGAAGCTAGAGAGGTGAGCAGGGTAAGTCTGATTCCCTTTAAAGACTTCTGTGTTGACACCCACCCCTTGGCGCTCATATGACCTTATGCAGATGCGAGCGCCGTAAAACCCTCCACTAAAAGAAAAAAAAGAGATAGAAACACCCCCATCAAGGAAGGGGTTAAAATCATTCTGTTTGAACACTTGCATATTACGAGAAAATGGCTCCCTATAGTATCAGACAGCAATTTTAGAATATATTATCAACTTTTAAAATAACCCAGCTCATAATGTAAGGGTTATGTTTTTATATGTGGTGAGTTTCGAAAGAACAGAACAAATCCCCAACATGGAGTCAGATAATAATATGTGTGATAAGTAAGATAAAGACATGTTACTTACACACTAGCAGAGTTTAATAAACTCATAAGTGTGTCATACAAATTATTAATACACATGAGACTTATACATACACACACAAGCATACACACACCCATACACACTCACACACACACACACACACACACACACACACACACACACACACACACACACACACACACACACACACACACACACCAGTTCCAGTTCCAAAATTACATGAATTAATTAGTGTTCACGCACAAACAAGTTATCGCATTAGTTTGTTGTAAATAAGGTTAATACACTCAAAACCTAAACACATTGCAATTTATCACATACTTTTGTTGTAAATAAGATTAATATACACGCGACCTTCACATACACACAGAAATCAATGCGTCAATCCAGTTGCGTCAATTCGTTCGTGTGTAGCTGTACTTGCTAGTTGAAAAAAGACACCACATCCACGATATTCACACACGGAATAGTATCACACATTGAGTGTGTTATAAGATAGATACAGACTACCTACACACACTTAGTTTTGAGTCACGATATAATGAAGGAAAGCATGGCCGCAGATAGAGAGTGTGCTGTGATTGGTATATCTTCGGTTTGTTTATCGTCGCTTTATCAGCCCCTTTACTCTTTAAGGATAGAGTGGATGCAACATGTCTGATCAGCACGCCAAAGATTATGTTGAGGCACATTTTGAGCCATCGTAGTGGTCGGGTGTCAGGGGGGGGGGGAGGGGTCTTGTTTGCTCCTTCTTTCTTGTCAAACATCTATAGTCCTTACATTTCTTCTTTCTTTTCTATTTGTGTGTTGTTGTTTTTTTACTCTCTTGTGACATCTCTAATCTTCGGCACTTATATGGCCTAATTTTGTCACAAGAGCTGTAAAACACTTACTCAAACAAAAAACGACAAACAAAAGAACAACTAAAAAGAGCCATCATAAACAAACTCATAATATGTCCGATCAGTACACCAAAGACTATGTTCAGGCACATCCTACTGTACGAAACATAATCAGGAATTTGAGTATTTCAGAGAATGCATAAGGGGGCTCGTGGTCTAGGGGTTAAGGTGTTCGCCTCTCTTTTAGTAAATCAGATGTTCAAATCTTGATTCCGAAGCAACATTTTCTCCTCTAAAATGTTCTCCTTTCACATCATTTCGTGCTCTCTAACAATGTTCTGTTGTCTGCTTTCGTCTCCACTTTCTACCCCCACCCCTTCACCTCCTTTGCCCTCTCCTCTGGGCTCCTGACCTTTTCTGCAGCCTTTCTGTTGCTACTTCTAGGCTCCTTCTTACTGCTGTCTTCCACCCACACCCCTGATCTTATAGTAGGTAAATTCTACACATAATCTTCTCGGATAAGGGCAAAAAAATATCGGCTGTCTCGTGTGCAACTTGCGAATGTTAAATATCGCTTGGTGGTCCAAAATCTATAAGAGCAGGCTTCGGCGGCCACCTGGGCACAATTCAAATTTTCCTACCAACTGAAAATGTTTAAAGAATTCAGCGCGCTCATAATTATGACCTTATGCAATTGCGAGCGCTGTAAAACACTTACCGCTCCCCCCACCCCTCCCCGCCAAAAAAGCAATTAAAAACAAAACAATGCATTACGTTGTTGCCTGTCTTTTAAAGTTTCTGGTGAAGGAAGCTCAAATGAACAATTGAAGTTTTGCTTCTCTTTTCAAGCGCACCAAACAACGTGACTTCATCAAGCGCTGTCGAATAGCCAGAACGCGATTCTTCAGTGAGTTAATTAGACTGAGAAATGGGCACCATCTCCCCCCCCCCCACCTCACAGAACGTGCACACACACACACACACACACACACACACACACACACACACACACATACACACACACACACACACGGTCATTCCCCCGCAGATGCACACACGGTTTGTTTGTCAGAGCTTTCTCAGACAATTCATAAGCTGTAGTATGGAAAAGCACATTATATTATATTCTCCCCATCCTCACACATAAACACACATACTTACATACATACATACATGAGAGAGAGAGAGAGAGAGAGAGAGAGAGAGAGAGAGAGAGAGAGAGAGAGAGATAGAGAGAGAGAGAGAGAGAAAGAAAGAAAGAGAGAGAGAGAGAGAGAGTGAGAGAGAGAGAGAGAAAGAGAGAGAGAGAGTGAGAGAAAGAGAAAGAGAGAGAGAGAGAGAGAAAGAGAGAGAGAGAGAGATTCAAATAGATGCATGTACGCAGACACACACACATACACACACACCCACACCCACACCCACACACACACACACACACACACACACACACACTCACACACACACACACACACATACGCACATACACACAACCACAAGCAAGCACGAATGCAAACAGTGTCTGATACATTGTGATCATGATCGTTTTGTTGATCAGTACTCCATCAGCCGCTTCATCAGGTTATGGTGTTCTTACGCACGAACACATACCCCCCCCCCCTCCCTCACTCCCCACCCTTGCAGACAGAGGAACA